TTGTTCGCTGCCGTTTGTGATTTGGAAGTGTTAAGTAAGAATAGGTTGATAACCGGTGTAAAACAGGCCGCATTCCTAATTTCGGGATCCAAAATTTCGATTTTCCACATCCACATATTATGTGAGTGTAATTTAATTAAACACATAATTACACACATTTTGTGCCGGTTGAATTTTTCCATTTGCTCTCAGTCCCGGTTACTAAATACTAGTGCCGGTCTCACCCTCGCATGTTTGTGGAACAATGCACGTTTTTCCTAACCCTAACAGTAAAACATTGTGATCAGTCAGTTGACAGAATGGAAATTTTTATTCTAAACACCGTTAATAATTTCCTGCGAATCATAGGAATAGAAGATGATCAAAAATATTTTAGAAGACACCTTAACATCAAAGTTTAGAGTGTTTTGTCGTGTTTCTGCGTACAATCGTTAATATTATCACATTGAAACCAAATGTACGGTCTTTCAAATATGAGTTTATGTACCACAATGTTCGGAGAAGGATATTTTGGGTTCAGTTAAATTTACCAATTGTATTTGCATGTAAAACAGACCGATATTTACCGAACTCGTGGAAATTAATTTCCCTTTGTGCATTTGTAGTTCCATTCGTGCATTTTGTTCCATCCATTTTGCTATATTGCAGACCTCAGCCTAATAGTCTTTTCATTAGTTAAAAGACGCTGAACTGTTCCATTCAGAAAAAAAAGTAGATTTTTGATAAAACATAAAAATGACAAAGATCTATTTTAGGTGTGTTATAAACAATTAAAAATTTTTTATTCGCGAAATGAAAAGAACATTTTTTGACTGTTTCATGGAACAGTCAATCTTTCAACTCATAAAAATAATTATTCTTTTCATTGCACTCATAAACGTTCATTATTTGTATACTAACGGTATCTCCCAAAATACGACGCATTTGAGCTCCGTAACCAAGTGCCTTGTTGAAACATAGCAAATTAACTCACACACATACTGTTCTACCTTCTTTAAACATAAGTCACTGTTTCAGCTGTATATCTATTTACCTGTTTCTGTAACTTTGGTACAATATTTGCAATGGTCATTAGGACACAGCTCAATACAAAGATTCCTCCAACAATGAAGAAAGATAATCTGTACGATTCACTAATATCGTAAACCAGCCCTGAAATGTCAAATAAATGCAGGTTAATTGGTGAGGACTCACATACAATACAGGTCTCCTTCTAAATTTAAGACCACTTTGGAACCGGAGTTTCCATGGTCTTTAGCAGCTTTGGTCCCTAATTAGAATAATAAAGATAAAATACAGTTGTTCATTTGGGATCACAGAAAAGTGGTCTTTAATTGGAGGTAGTCTTTAATTGGTGGGGTCTTAATTAGAGGGAGACCTCTAAGTTTTATGAATCAGGGAGCGCGTCAGATAGGCAGGTAAACATATCGGCCTATATGATAGATACCATGACTATATAAACTTATATTTCTAATAGGATCAGAGTTGCATTACTCAGTGACAAGACTAACAAAATAAATGCAATGCATTGTTGTTGTTTTTTTTTTTTGTTTTTTTTTTTGTAGAGGTGACTTATGGCACCTCATGATAGATAGGATTTGTATGATTTGAAATGTTGCTATAAAAAGATCCTCGCGTCCCATTTTTTTCCCGGGTCCCAAGTTTTGATTTTCCACACAAGCCGCGGCCCATCTAATGATTTGATAGTAAACAGCACAGTGACTTTTATCATGTTTTAAAAATGACTACCCGACATTGGTATCACATCGATTTTGGTTACTATTTATCAGTGGTGGATCCAGAAATTTGTTTTAGAGGGAGGACGGAGGAACTTTTATAGATAGAGTGACAATCCACCTCAGGCCCACCGTTGTTGGGGCTGAGGTAAGACATTTTATGAATTTTTTGCACCGATAGATGTCCGTAAATGGCACTCTCAGGCTTAAATTGGAATACAGTACAAATTTCTTTTTTTCTCAATTATTTTTTAATAATCCGCCATTTATGGAAATCATGGAAATAGATATCTTTTCTCCATACGTACCTACTGTATATCCAGCAAATGTACATATAATGCCTGCAGGTATATTGATAGCTCCATAGGCATCTTTAAATCGCTCCTTACATACAGAACCTCTGACTAAAGCCGGGAACAGTATCAGGTACCACCCAATGAAATATCCAATTAACGCCGCAGACATGATAGTAACATATACGGTTCGTATATAATCAAAAACAATCATTAGAGTTCCTACAATCAACATTGCCATAATGAAGGTACTGTTCTTGTTCCAGAGATGTATATATTCTGGAAGGAACGCAGTTAGTCGGCCGCACAAGCTACCAAGTCCAAATGACCCTAACGCAAACGCCGCCTCTTGCTCAGGTACTCCTTTGTAGATCAAACTCGCAGTGAAATGGATGAAGAAGCCTATGTAGGCATACTCTGTAAGAGCACGAACGATGGTAAGCAAGATAAGATTTTTATTTTCCAGGAATAAAGACAAAGTAGAGATTCCGTGTACACAGCGGCACATTTCCGATGAGAGTGTTCTTCTGTTTGTGTCATCATCGCTCTCGTTTCGTATAATCTTTTGATCGACAACCGAACCTACGCATTCGTCTGTCATTGCTATAGCGGGACTTTCAGTCCGTTTTGATTGCCCATGCTTTTTGGAGTATCGTTTGAATACAAAAAGGGAAACTGGTATAGAATTCATAGATAGTGCCCCTAAAACCAAAATTGTTCCTCTGAAGCCGAGAAAACGTTTCAATTGGGCACAACATATTGGCGTTAACAACATGCCGGAAGCCGATCCAGAGTACATAAACCCTAAATATACTGCCGAACAACTGAAATGGTGTCCTATGATGAAGACGATGCTTGATACTACCAACGATGTACCAGTACCTTTTGTATACAAAAAAAAAGTTAAATTCAAAAGAATATTATAATCGTCTATAACAATAAGATAATGTTACAATAATGTGGAAGATGTTGAAACAGTGATGATTATAATAGAATGATAATATTTATAAAGAATTTATGTAGCAGCACCAAATACATTTACAAAAAATAACACAACAGTTCTATTCTTCATAATCAACTTGAACATTGAAATTAGCGTATTTAAAAATGTTCACCCATAGTTTTTAGCGAAAAAATTATAGAAACACTTTCATTAAATGAAAGTGTTTTATTATTTTTATCATTATCACCTTTTTGAAATTCAATCATTTCTATGGCTAAGTTAATAATTTGTATGCTTCTTAATGCAAAATGAGCAAGTTAACTTCAAATTATTTTTTTTTCACTCATTTTCGGGGGACAATACTTCTTCAACGACAGACATGTTTCGGTAGTCATTAAAAACCTCCAAATTATGATAAAATAATATTAAAGTAATGATAATGACGAAAAGAAGATAAACATAAGATAATGATAAAAAGATATAGGCCTACTTAAATATGATGAAAATAGGGATATTTCTCAACCTTACGAAAACGATAACAAATACGAGTACGTCATTATCATTATCGTCATTCGTGCCATTACCGGTAGGTAGTTTTCGCCGCACGACGTTAACCTTAACTTCAACGTCAGTACCGGACATGCAACGCGATAACTCCGCCCCTTTTGTAAACAAATCGAAATACGCATGCGCAAACCCGTAACTAACGTACTTCGAGCACGTGAAATCCTGAAATTAACGTTCTTCGCAAAGCAAGATGAATAAATTACGACGTCATCCGTTAACGTTAAGGTTACCGTCGTGCGGCGAAAACTATCTATTCTTGATAATTACGCTGTAGGATAGGAGCTGAAAATTATGCTTAATTCATGTAAAAGGCATGAATAGCTTACGTTGTGACAGATATGCTACGGTAGGGGAAGGGTTTTCTATTTAAAAAAATGGATGACGTATCCGTATTCGTTATCGTTTTCGTAATCTTGCAAAAACTAAAAAAATGAAGCGAAAACCGATGGCGACGGTCAAGATCATAATGTTAATAACATTTTGTTTTACTTCAGCTTCAATTTACCTGCTATTAATGAATGTGAGATAAATAACTGCCATACACTTGTCGTCTGTGATGTCATCATTAATCCACCTGACACCATAACGCATCCAACGATTATTGTCTCTTTATCACCGTACCGTTTGGACATTATAACTGCCAACGGGCCTATATATAAGTAAATAATGTGCATTGCTCATAACACTAACACCTGCATGAACAAAAGTTTATTTCAAAGATAAGTTTAAAGATTAATTTATTATCATATCTAATAATATTGGCCTAAGCAAACACGCCAACCCTAGAATTTTATATCACCGATACAAAGTATATATATACTGTCTCTTATACACATCTAGATGTGTATAAGAGACAGGTTGAAACAGTGATGATTATAATAGAATGATAATATTTAATGAAATTCTGTCTTTATACTATCTGGCTTTTTCAACCCTCACTCACTCGCCACTGAGGAAGGACTAGTGTTGTCCGAAAGCTGTCTCTTATACACATCTAGATGTGTATAAGAGACAGTATATATACATATATATATATTATATATAGGCCTATATAGTATACCAATACATAGGCCTATGTATTTATTTATTTTATTCATGATGATGGTGACGATTTTTTTTATGCCTAAATGCTTACCAAGAAGTAAAACGGCGCCAAAATACAAACTTTGCGTCATGCCGACTGTTGCTGAACTATTTTCTAAGGCAATCGTGAAATCTACTAGAAAGAAGCTTAAACATGGTCCAGCAGTCCCGACACTGAACAAGATGACGGCCAGTATACCAAACAGTGTTGGTAGTGATTTCCATTCCATTCTTACTCCGATGTGTTTAACTTCAATACGCTGCAATTTTATAGACCTACATATGTGACAGGAGTGGAAAAATGAACCAGAAAATTTATATTAAAATATTGAATTTTTTTATTCTTTTTTCCCTAAGAATGTATAGTTTATTAACTGCCTATACTTTGTTTTACTTTGGGTGAGACTTTTTTTTTTAAACTTGTTTAGCGAACCCTCCGACCGCCGAAAATGGTGATTTTGAATACAAATACAAAATATTATTTTGGGCCTTGAGACTTAGTATAATGCGCTTTAAAATTCGAGCTTTGGATTGGGTTGGATTCGAGACTTAGTATAAAGCGCTTTATTAAGTCGAGATTTGGATTGGGTTGGATTCGACAGTATCAATTTTTTTCTGTTTCTATCTCTTCCTAAAATGTTCTATGCCGTCCAGTTTCACTGCTAGGAATTTGTATATAGTTATCCGAGAGTAATTGGAGGGAGGAAGGAAGGTATAATTATAAGGGTTTTTTTTTATTGTGTTTGTTGGTGAAACAGAATGGATCTTTCCGCAAAGCCCCGGCCCATGTTGCTTTCCGATATGCAAACATGTATGTTTGTAGGACAAGCACATATTATTCTGTCCCTGTTTTGATTGATTGGTTTGTTGTTAAGTTTGCTGGACACCCCAGAAAATCTCCCTGTATTGCTAAATATTTGGTAAAATGTAATTCAGTTTTGTTTTACTCCTTATTAAATGTTGATTGAGCCAAACAATAGAACCATATTATTTAGGCTTCCCGGGGGAATAGACCATTGCCCCCCCCCCACAATAGTTAACCCCAATCCGCCTCATGTACCATAGGTTTTCCAGCGTTGAACTATGGTTCTCGAATTCCGATCTCGCCCCCGCTGAACCCCGGCCAAAAATCATGCACTCGCCAGAATTAACTGCGAATGCAAGTTTAACTTAATTACCAGTAGCGCACTTGCTTATGTCATAGACTAGTACTAAGTCAACCAATATATAAAACATACAGATACATGTTGGATTCTTACATTCATCATTTGACAATCATTTGACGCAAACACAAAGGATTCGTCAAATTGCGAATGCAAATCTACTTTTGTCACCAGTAGTCTTATCATTTTCACAATAGCCCTTGCTTATGTTATACTCTAATAAAAGGTCAACTGATATTTAAAAATTAGACACATGTTAGATTCTTACATGAATACAAATGACAATCAGTTGACGAAAAATCACGTAAGGATATAGTACACAAACTGAGACTAGTACATTATCCGTGGCACCGATATCACGTTGAAGTTGAAATCCAGTCTGAATTTAATAACAATTTTTCGAAAGATATCTAAAACGGTTTACTTATTAGCTTGTTGATGGGTCTTCATGTTGGTTCAAAGTACAGTGATGTGTATAAATAATTCGTTTGCGCTTTAAAGAACAAGTAGAGGGCGCAATTCAGGGAGATGTGAACTGAATGGGCTTAGTATTCAGACAGCGTCAGCTGTGGGGATATTAATATTCATGAGTAACGTCTCACAATGAAATCAATCAAAAACGTACCACAATACTCATCATTTCGCTGAACTTGTACCAATGTGTTATTTTATTCAATTATTATTATAAAACTGAATGCTGTATAACTTAGTATTCAGACAGCGTCAGCTGTGGGGATATTAATATTTATGAGTAACGTCTCACAATGAAATCAATCAAAAAACGTACCAAAATACTCATCATTTCGCCGAACTTGTACCAATGTGTTATTTTATTCAATTATTATTATAAATTATCAATTCTTAAATTTAACATTACCTTTAAATTGTGAAGCCTCGCTAGATATTGCTTTATTTTGTCCTTTAAGCACATTTTAATATAACTTTATCTCGGGTCATAAGTATGATGGTCCACAAAATAATTTGTTTTATTTGGCCTTATCACCTGATAGAACTGTCCATGGCGGTAATCATTAAACTGTACAAGAACAAGGAACAGGAAGGAACACCAAATTTTGATTAGATCTCAGTCGATCATTGGGGGCCATTTCTCAAAAACCTTGCATATTTTTTTGAGAAATGCTTACCATAAATAATCTTTAGATGAAACATTTAAAGTTAAACATTAAAATCAACAGTTATAAAAACAAGCATAATTTAAATGTTTGGCGTTTAAAATATTCGAATATTCTGATAATGCAATGCAATTTACTTAAAAATTCAATTGCAAAATATTAAAATATTTCGAAGCTATCCGGAGCTGTTCTTCACCAATTAAGTCGATTAACAGTGAAGAGCTTATGTAGGGCTCTCAGAAAATCGGCCATTCAGTGACAACCTGTTCCGACCTCCACGGCCAACCCATTCCACTGTACTTGACTGATTGGAAAGGAAGTAGGAACAGAAATTTACTGAGCAGAGGCATGGGTGTTAAGACCTATACTAACAGCAAACACACAAATTATAGTTTAGCATGGGCGGAGATCACGGGGGGACAGGTGACACGTTCCCCAGGCGGCAATGTGATTTCATAAGTCCAAAAAGATGCCTAAAAATTGTTGAAATGAACTGCATAAATGACCCAGGATTTAACGAAAGAGCCCTGTGCAGCCAGAATACATCTTCTTACGAGTCCTGTGCAGTTATCTTCTGAAATTTTGATTAAATAGATTACACGCGATGTAAAATGCTGAATTTTTAAAACGGTTTGTGGATATTTTGTTTTGTTTATGTCTAACCCTTCCCGATCTATTTATGATAATGTCTGAAAATAATGGATGGGATGAATCTTGCATAATTGAATTAAATTTCTTAAGTAAAAAATAATTAAGAATATCTTCCAAGGACTTAACGTCGGCTCCAATCACTCTTCCAGCCTTATTTACAATTCTCAATAATTGACATTTACTGTCTGCGGTGATATGAGAGAACCAAATAATAATACAATAAGAAAGAATTGATGGACAACCGAGGAATAAAACATATGAATAAGATGAGAGCTAACATTAAACCGTTTCATTCTATATACAAAATACATTCTTTTATTTGCCTTGGTACGGATTTCTTTAGTGTTGCTTTCCCAGTTAAGTTCATTATCAATAATCTGCAGTCCCAGATACTTGTGTTTTTCAACAATTTCCACCCTCTCATTATCGATTACAATACTTAGATCTCTATGATTGCCGAAAATCCCTGATAAAAGATCATGAGAGATTTGTTGACGCATAATTTTTGACTATAATGTGATGATGATAAATGTTACTATAATATAAGAGTGTTATTTCCGGCCATCTACAGGTACTATTTGCCAAAATGTTCGCGCCTCAGCCCCAACCATGGTGGAGCTGATATGGGCGTGGAGTCACGGCTTTACGAAGGTAAGGTAAATACATAAAAGACAATGTTTTAAAGTTTTTTTCACGCCGACCCAGAGCCTCACTGCTGTTCTTGTGCTTGTTCTTGTTAACAAAACTTTTAAAACTTTAAATTTAAATTTATTTATTTGTTTTAATTTTTATTTTGTACAAATGATCATTCTAAATAATGTGGTTTTTTTTGTACAAATAAACATTTTAATTAAAAACTTCTATCTTATTAGCTCTTCCAAAAAACCCAATAATAATAATAATGATAATAATAATAATAATAATAATAATAATAATAATAATAATAATAATAATAATAAATTGCGACTGTACCGTATTTAAGCATGGAGGAACGCGCAGACCTGGTGAGCGGTCGCTCCTGTTTTCTATGGTACATCACACACGTTATTTACATCTCTATGGTTGCCGAAAAACCCCGATAAAAGATGATGAGAAATTTGTTGTTGGTTCATTTTAACTATAAGGGCGATGTGATTACTATAAAAGAGTGTCATTTTAGGTCATCTAGAGAATACTATTTCCTCAAAGTTTCGCGGAATGCCCCCAACCCCACCTTTCAAACCAGACTGCGCCCTTGGAGTTTAGGCATTTGAAACTTGATACAAGTGATAGTACTCTACATCTGATCCAGAGGTGACGGAACTAGGGGGTGCTGCGTTATAGAGAGTAATGTGTGAGCTGAAATGGTCTGCAATTGGTTGTTACCATGCGCCAGTGATGTTGGAGTATACGTCAGCAAGATGAAACTATTTATGTAATGCATGAATAAAGTTCGGGGTTTGTCGGGTAGTGAAATGATTATTGTACATTTTAAGTGTTCCATGCGTATAAATTACGGTGGTTAATTAGCGAAGATATGGAGACAATATTTCGAAGTTCCCTCTTTCCAAGAGGGGATGCATATGCTTTGTGAGAATGAGTACGCCGCGATACTCATTTTCACAGCTAACAATGCAAATGTTACATGAACACCAAGGAAGGTGCAATCACGTTCTGTTGCCTAGCAAACGTCTGTACTGTAGCGAAGGGGGAGGGGGGATAGTCTACTAATGTACTGTGTAGCGGGGGACGATGGGGCATAAGACCACCTAGGCTGCCGCCTAGGCCTAAGCAGACAGGTGCAATTATATGTGATAGAAAGTACACTCTCGAAAGAAATAAATTAAAATATTAGAAAAACATAATAACTAAGAATAATTCAGTTGCAGACGTACCTTGTTTAAGTATTATATAATGCTAACAATGCGGCTCTTTTAGCCCTAGCTAGGCAAGGCATCCATTTGCAAAGCAGTGGTGTTTGTTAATCGATCAAAAAAGCACGCCGGGAATTGAAAGTTTGCCTTACCAGGAAAAGTTGACGTAATCTAGCTTATGACGTATGCATGCTAACTATATTGTGAGTGACGTCACCAAAAAATAAAAATTTTCTATAATAAACCAAAATATTAATAACTACAAGGTTTGTGGGCGTAAATTCCATTAATACGAATTAAGGGTAGCAAAATCTCCTTGGCATACAAATTACAGCTCCCACTGACGTCTCAGTCGAGAAATACGGGCTGAGCGTGATAAACAGGTTCGCGATTTTTTTTTCCGTACGAAACATTTACATGAAACTCCACTCGGGCCGTCTCGGCTGAATCGACCCGAAAATCTCATTGCAGAATTCAGGAGGTCAAAAGGTCATCAACAGATAAACGTCTACAGAACAACTTCTAAAAGAACGTCGCTGTCTAATTTTTGAAAAATAGGCCTACATTGATGTTACCATGTTAATACCAATGGGTCGTTTAAAATGACATATAATATTTGATTAAGCTGCACGAGTAATGAAAAGTGTTATTTTAACTTGTGTTACATACTATGACAATTTTAATTTTTTAGTTAGGCCTGGGTTTTGCATAATTACCTAGGCCTACAAGTAGGCCTACTAAAAACGCTTTCTGGGAAAAGAGTAAGGAAAAGCGCGTTTTTCTTCATCACTGATCAAATGAAACAGAATGACAGTTATTTTCAAATTAAGAGAAGAGCTGAGAATAGGCAGCTCTAAAATACTGGATGACATAAGACCTGCCAAAATGGCAGTAGCACCAAATGAATGTAAAAATGAGCCAGTTATTAATATTAGGCATAGTAATCGGCAGGTTCTTGATTACAAGGCTAGACCAAGTTAATTACATGTAATGCTGAAATGATAATAATAATAATAATTATTATTATTATTACCTGTACGTTAAGTGGAACTTAGATAAAGGGGAAATAACACAAAAGATATTCCCCTTGGGCTAGTTATTATAGGCTTAGTAAATAGTATCTGTAGGTTCTTCATACAAGCCTTGGGCCAAGGTAATTAATGCTGAAATGATTATTATTAATTACCTGTACCTTAAGGGGAACTTAGACAATGGAGGAATTAGAGAACAATTAAAAAAACGACGTTAAGGGGAAATAACACAAAAGATATTCCCCTTGGGCGATTATTATTTATAGGCCTAGTAAATAGTACAGTAGCTGTAGGTTCTTCATT